AACCTGAATCTTTGCCACAGGTTTTGTGAAATGAAATACAGGTGTGAGCAAACAGCCTAAGTACTGCATGCCCAGGCTGTATGGGTTGTGCATATACTGCATTTGAGCAAGCCCACCCTGGAAGTGGATGAAGATCTCGTGTCCTCCTGAGCCACGCTGTGGTCTCTCTCTGCAAGGAGGAGCAGCTCTGCCCCCTAAGCCCTACACAGAGTGCCTGGGAGCAGGGCTGCGTGCTAAGTGTGAGTGTTGAGATTCAGGCGATTTGGGTTGTGTCTGAGAGGGAAAAGGCAAAGGCAAGTAGAGACTTGGGAAGGATGGTTATTTAACTAAAGGGATTTTCTAGGGTTGATGCTATGTCCTGCAGGAGTCTCTGTTGCCAGCATCTCCCTGAGAAAGGGAGAAAATTAAGATGAGCAATTCAGTGGGAAAGGAGCCCATGATCTTTTAGAAATTGGATGTTTCTAGAGGCTGTTGCTTTGTCATGGCTTTTTTTTGTGTAGGTGTTTCTCTTTCCTCCCTTCACTTGGTTGCTTCTAGCTCCATGTGAGATTTTTCAGCCAGTTCAGCCTCTCAGATGTCTTTTGTCCATATTTGTTCACCGAGGGGACCAGAGGTACTGAAAATGCCTAGCTTCTGTGTTTAGGCTGAAGATGGGGATAAGTGGTGGGTGGCAGAGCCTAGATGCTGTCAGGTGTTTGTTTCTAGCCAAGCACAGTGAGGAGGGTGATCATGTTATCTGTTTTCTTTTTCCTTGCTTCCTTATTCCCCAGAATATTTCCCAGGAACCCTGAGCAGGGCTTTGCTAAGCAGTTTATGTACTGACAACATTTGTCCTGCAGGTAGGGTTTTGGACATGACTAGGAAGTTTACATCAAATGAGCCTACAGAGAGTGGAGACTTTGCAGTAAGCAATTACCCTGTGTCAATGGTTTCCAAGCTCTTTTACAGACATTATCTCGTAGGCTGCTTCCCTTCCCTATCCTCAAATGGTTAGGCCAGTGTCCCTCCAGTTATTTGTACAACATCTGCTGGCCCAGCCCCAGCAATTATGGGCAGGGAAGGAAGTTATGCTCGGCTGTGCGCCTGTGAATCTGAAGTTTCTTCTAAGGGAATTTGCCAGCTGGAGTAAATAAGCCCAGGACAGTTTCTGCCAGCCCTCAGTGGACCCTAATATTGACCAGCATGTCCATGTCTCTGCTGGGCCTGCATTAGGCTGAACTATGGCTTTATATTGATTTCAACTGAGCTGTACTGATTTATAGCAGCAGAGACCTCTCTGCGTTTATGGCTGTGCCTGCCTGCTTGCAGAGCTTTTGTTTTTTGGGGCTTAAGTGTTCTGTAATAAATCCTGAGATGGGGGTGGAGAGGTCTGAAAGCAGCCAGCCTGTTGTGGTTTTCCTGCCTGGGGGTGGAAAAAGGGCACAGCTGTATTGCAGAGAGCCCTCAGGTCTTTATCTTCCGCAGGATGTATCTGTCCTATACTGTGCTTTTAGAGTAATTCCTCTGCAGCCTGTAGGAAACGTTTCTGCTGCTCCATGTTCTTGTGGAGGGTGAACAGTCCAGGAGCTGGTCTAAACTGTGGAGATGAGGAATCTTCCTGGTTTCATGAGCGATCTATAGCATTACCATGTACTGCCCGGTAATATTGCTCCTCTCTGGCATGAGAGTTCAGAGAGGATTAACGTCAAGTATCAATCAGGAGTCAGACAACACTCAGGTATGTAACATTTCTATAAGGCACCTACGTACCTGAATGTGACAGGACCCTGTGAACTTCAGTGCTCTGTGCTCATACTGCATGTGCCCTGCTCAAAGCTGTGGAGCCTGCACTATAGAGCTCTTGCTTCACTGTCTGGTTGTAAAGCAAAGGATTTTTAAGCCTTATAAAATAAGCCTGTTGTCTACAGACACAATTCTGACTATAACGTTTATTCCAGTTCAGAAATAAAACTCACAAAAATAGAGACTAGATAATTAAATGAAGAAGGCCCATGTTAAATGGGTTCTGTCAAAAAGACAGAAGGAAACGCAATCAGCCTTTCAGAAGAAACTTCGTTAAGTCTACGCTAGCAGCTCTTTAAACCAAATTCAGAAGTAAGCAAACACAAAACAGAAGACTAACTTGTCTTTAAATAGGAACTGCAAGACTGAACAGAGCCTGAAATCTAGATGTTCTTTTCAGGATTTTTCAGGAAGCTCAAGCTACTTTTCTAGGGGGGTTTCTTTGCATGTGTGTATTTGCATATGTTTTGGCAAAGTATTTATTCCATGATAGTGTCTTAGTTTGCCAAAGACTTCCTAAATTGCAACTGGCCACATTACTTGCAGTGTAACAGGAATGTGGAATAGGCACAGCACAAAGCAAGAAGTTAAGTGTGGATCCTGAATGTGCTTCAGCATGGACTTTTCCTTTTCACAGTGATCTTTTCTGCTAGGCTAACCACTGAATGGACAAGTTTGAAATGACTTTTAGCACATCCTTATAATTGCCATAGAACTCAGTATGTTTATAACACCTGTAATAGTGACAGATAGTAATTCAGGTGCCTTCTCATCATCAGCATGAAAATATTTTTGTAAATATATAAGCTGTTTAAAAAAACAAAACGAAAAAACAAAACAAAACCCCACACACTCAAAAGAACCCCCAGACTTGAAAAGAAATCCTGCACCTGTAGAAATATACAATTGAAATGTCTACCATTCAGTTGTAGGTAGGCTTCTGACTGGCTGGCCCTCCCTTGTGTAATGTATGCTACTTCACAGAGCACAATATTCCTGACACTTAAAGATGCTTCTCAATGTCAAGTGTTGCATCTGTCAGCACTGAGAACACTTGGCTGGTGACCTGAGCAGACCCTATTTTGCCTTGCAGTAGCCC